TGGAATCTGATTGATTGATTGCTTCTGTGGACAGGTGTCTTTTATACAGGTAACAAACTGAGATTAGGAGCACTCACTTTAAGAGTGTGCTCCTAATCTCAGCTCGTTACCTGTATAAAAGACACCTGGGAGCCAGAAATCTTTCTGATTGAGAGGGGGTAAAATACTTATTTCCCTCATTAAAATGCAAATCAATTTATAACATTTTTGACATGCGTTTTTCTGGATTTTTTGTTGTTATTCTGTCTCTCACTGTTCAAATAAACCTACCATTAAAATTATAGACTGATCATTTCTTTGTCAGTGGGCAAACGTACAAAATCAGCAGGGGATCAAATACTTTTTTCCCTCACTGTATATATGATGCATTATGAACCCCTCACAGACAGTGTTAGAGGGATAGCATGATATGCATTGGGGTCAATAAAATTTTTAACTGCTGGAATTGGTGTGTGACAGGGCAGATGATCATATCTATGGCATGTGAGATATTTTGTGTGTGTTGCAGTGGGGTGTAGGGCTGAAGTGAACCATTTATGCGCATGGGTTACGGCTTTTTCCAATGTCTTCTCCAAGAAATGTGTCAATGTAAATGAAAAATATTGAAATGTTGAAGTCGGTGGTAAAACTGACCTAAAAGATTAAGAACCCTTTCCTCCGAGATTTTTGACAAACTGCCAAAGATAGCAAAGGGACGTTTGGAATCTTCCCTGACATATGGAATCCCTGGAGAATTCAGCAGGGCACATATGGGAACCTCTGACTTCTGTGGAATCAAATCTGTTTGAAACAAGTGAGAAGCTTATAACTCTATTGTTTGTTTCTGGATGTTATATTATTCTTAATATGGACATCCTGCGTAACATTTGGGACTGATATGCACCGGACACATATGTGGAGCACATTTAGATCTTCTCTCCCGTTCAGGGATACAGATGTACAGTGGGGAAAAAAAGTATGTAGTCAGCCACCAATTGTGCAAGTTCTCCCACTTAAAAAGATGAGAGAGGCCTGTAATTTTCATCATAGGTACACGTCAACTATGACAGACAAAATGAGAAAAAAAAATCCAGAAAATCACATTGTAGTCTTTTTAATGAATTTATTTGCAAATTATGGTGGAAAATAAGTATTTGGTCACCTACAAACAAGCAAGATTTCTGGCTCTCACAGACCTGTAACTTCTTCTTTAAGAGGCTCCTCTGTCCTCCACTCGTTACCTGTATTAATGGCACCTGTTTGAACTTGTTATCAGTATAAAAGACACCTGTCCACAACCTCAAACAGTCACACTACAAACTCCACTATGGCCAAGACCAAAGAGCTGTCAAAGGACACCAGAAACAAAATTGTAGACCTGCACCAGGCTGGGAAGACTGAATCTGCAATAGGTAAGCAGCTTGGTTTGAAGAAATCAACTGTGGGAGCAATTATTAGGAAATGGAAGACATACAAGACCACTGATAATCTCCCTCGATCTGGGGCTCCACGCAAGATCTCACCCCGTGGGGTCAAAATGATCACAAGAACGGTGAGCAAAAATCCCAGAACAACACGGGGGGACCTAGTGAATGACCTGCAGAGAGCTGGGACCAAAGTAACAAAGCCTACCATCAGTAACACACTACGCCGCCAGGGACTCAAATCCTGCAGTGCAAGACGTGTCCCCCTGCTTAAGCCAGTACATGTCCAGGCCCGTCTGAAGTTTGCTAGAGTGCATTTGGATGATCGAGAAGAGGACTGGGAGAATGTCATATGGTCAGATGAAACCAAAATAGAACTTTTTGGTAAAAACTCAACTCGTCGTGTTTGGAGGACAAAGAATGCTGAGTTGCATCCAAAGAACACCATACCTACTGTGAAGCATGGGGGTGGAAACATCATGCTTTGGGGATGTTTTTCTGCAAAGGGACCAGGACGACTGATCCGTGTAAAGGAAAGAATGAATGGGGCCATGTATTGTGAGATTTTGAGTGAAAACCTTCTTCCATCAGCAAGGGCATTGAAGATGAAACGTGGCTGGGTCTTTCAGCATGACAATGATCCCAAACACACCGCCCGGGCAACGAAGGAGTGGCTTCGTAAGAAGCATTTCAAGGTCCTGGAGTGGCCTAGCCAGTCTCCAGATCTCAACCCCATAGAAAATCTTTGGAGGGAGTTGAAAGTCTGTGTTGCCCAGCGACAGCCCCAAAACATCACTGCTCTAGAGGAGATCTGCATGGAGGAATGGGCCAAAATACCAGCAACAGTGTGTGAAAACCTTGTGAAGACTTACAGAAAACGTTTGACCTGTGTCATTGCCAACAAAGGGTATATAACAAAGTATTGAGAAACTTTTGTTATTGACCAAATACTTATTTTCCACCATAATTTGCAAATAAATTCATTAAAAATCCTACAATGTGATTTTCTGGAATTTTCTTTCTCATTTTGTCTGTCATAGTTGACGTGTACCTATGATGAAAATTACAGGCCTCTCTCATCTTTTTAAGTGGGAGAACTTGCACAATTGGTGGCTGACTAAATACTTTTTTTCTCCACTGTAGGTTCTTAATTTGAGCCAGTTTGCTACAGCAGGAAAATAATCCTGCAGCAACAGAAAATGTGAATTATTATCTTGATTATAATTAATGGACATTTTTGTAGGGGCTCATACATTTTTCGTAAGTGAAAATAAAGTCTGACATTTCAAAGTGAAAATTACAAACTTCAGAAGCCTTTTTAAACCTCAAATACACTACAAGTTTAAGTTCTCCTGCAACAGGGTGATCAAGTTAAGATCCTACATTTGTACCACACTGTCCTGTTACTAACATTTACCTAGGGTTAATCCATCATATCCATACTAGCACACCACTTAGGATGCATGCCCAATACATGGATTCATTCTATGTAGTATGCAACATTGAGCTGGGAACAAAGCCAACCTCTTTCCTGGAAATGTTTACCTTTCTCCCTGTAATGTTTTCCCCTGTCCTCCATGTTTGTGTTCAGTGTGTGTGGTTGTGTGTCTGGGGTGTGTGTCGGTGTGTTTGTGTGTGTGTTGCTGCGTCTGCTTGTGAAAGATTCAGAGATTTCAAGTGAGCTCCTGAATGATGTAGAGGACACGTGTTCTGTTGTGAATATTTAATGCTGTGTGAAAGTGAGCGCAAATACTCGGCGGGGCTGGGTATCAACGGACGACCATGAGAGAGAAGGTAAGGAAGGAGAGAGAGGAGGACGATGAGAGATCAGAGGGAGAGAAGGGGTTAGGGAATGAGGGAGAGGGAGGGTGTACAAAAAGAAGAGGGATTTGGGATGGAGAGAGGAGGTGGAGGAGTGTACAGAGAATGGGGGTTAGAGGGAGAGGAGAGGAGGTTTAGCTGGAGGGGGGGGGGGGGAAGGGAGCAAAGAAGAAGTTTGACACAGAGAGAGGGGGATGATGGAGAGGGGGGAAGAGAAACAGCCTTGTCACTTGTCAGGAGGGTAAGCTGTTCCATCAGGCTACATTGAAGACAGGGTGGAGAGGAAAGAGAGAGAACAGGAGCAGAGGGAGAGAGGGAAGAGAGGAGGTGTATATCATTATGTTTGTGATGCTACATTACCGCACTACACAGCATCACACTGGTACCACCTGGAGAGATAGAGACAAATAATGAGAGCGAGGGAGGGAGAGAGGAAGAGCCGAAGAACAGACAGTGGAGGATAAAATATGGCCTAGTGTTAATGTGTGACAGTAGAGTAGATGTTGTCTGCTGTGCCCCATTGGCTACATGATTGTCTATAGATAGGAACAGCATACCATATGGAGGTGTCTGTGTATAGAGCTGTTCAGCATAGTTAGGCTCTGGAGTGCTCTGATGCTGGTAAAAGCCCAGAGTCACAACAATGAAATAGTCCTCATACTGAACATGACTGGAGTTTCTGTTATAATATGTTATAAGATATTGTATGACAGCTGTGGGACTGTCCTCAAAAGGGCTTGTTTTCGCAATCCTGAAATTCATCGACCTCCCTTATTGGCCTGATTGTAATAACATGTCCACTGTGTGTGTCTGTGTGCCATTATTATTCCTAGTGCAGCACAGTGTTCGTAATGTGTTTGTGATGAGAGCAGTGGCAGGTCCTATCAGCCTAAAGACACAGTAATGTGTTGACATAGAGCAGGTAACTCCAAAAATAACTATTTGTCAGCCTAGTGGGGGAAAATGTTTCAGAAATGGGCCTCGCTCCAAAACCCACAGAACTGAAAGCATCCCAGAGCTATTTAAAGGAAGGAAACTGTTGTTAATGAACAACTATTGATATGATTGTATCTTAGTTACGCCTGGGTGGTGTAGCGGCTGACTTGATTTCCTGGTGTCAGAGTTGAATAATGATGATTACTGCGGGGTGGTCTGAGACAACGGAGGAGGCGTGACAGGAATACTGATCACAATGCAAGCTTTCTCACAACACGTATTGAATGCCACATACCGGTAGCCTTTCCTCAAAATGAACAGTTCATATTTTGATTGAATAGAATCCTCTATAGGGTCCTGTGTTCATTGACATACTGTACAGGGTTACATTCCTACATGACCTCATTATGTGAATCAGGGATCAATCAGAATTCTGACACATTTCACAGGGAAATGGGACTTTTCTCAGAACAACCATTGATTGGGTTAGGGGGAGAGAGAGAGAGAGAGAGAGAGAGAGAGAGAGAGAGAGAGGAGAGAGAGAGAGGAGAAGAGATAGAGAGAGAGAGAGAGAGAGAGAGAGAGAGAGAGAGAGAGAGAGAGAGAGAGATAGAGAGAGAGAGAGAGAGAGAGAGAGAGAGAGAGAGAGAGAGATTATTGAACAAGACTTACATCTACTTCTGTGTACATGTGCGAATGTTTGTCTCTGTATGGGCGGAAATAGGACATCAGTAACAATGTCTTGCTGATTGTATTGTGCTAAAGCTGCATCGTAATCTACAACGATTTGATTGTAACTCACTGATTTAAGCTCCTGAACTACTCTGCTTTTCTTTCCCAGCGGTTTAGCGGAGGGAAGGTGGGATCCTGTCTCTAACTGGCTACTTCATCCCTCTGTCCTGGTCTGGTGTGTAGCCTGAGGGAGCTGTGGTTCTGATGAGAGCTCTGGGAGTTAGAGCCAGAGAGAGGAGCACCGAGGACCTGCTATGGCCAGCGGTACGTACTATAACACTGGCTACTACACTTTCACTAATATGTCAACTACAGCTCTGGTCTCTTCTCCTTCCTCCACCTAACCCTCCTGTTTATCTTGCAGCAGCAGATGGTGTAGGGAGCCTGGGGAGCCTGGGGGCGGAGCAGCACCTCAGTGTCCATGACCACGTAGTGAACGACCACGGAGCCTGGGCCACCGCCATGAACAACCTGGGCATCGTACCCATGGGCCTCAGCGGGCAGCAACTGGTCTCAGGTAGGGCATTGGCAGGCCTCCTTCTCACCCTCCTCCTACCTTATCCCCCTCTCCTCTGTTTACAAATTCTTCATTCTAATTTTTCAATATTGTCGAGGCCATAAGAAAGGAAAGAGTCCACAGGTTTGGAAACGTTTGAGAATATCGTAAAGGCATCAAGTGAACTTTGCACTTCCATCAAGAGCCCCATTATTCCTATGATGGCATCCTACTCCTCCTTCCCTTCCTCAGCTCCACCCACACAGGGCAGGCCAGTCAACGATTACCATAGAACTAGAATAGATAGATACTGTATATCCCTGTGGCAGGGAATCCAGGCTGCAGCATGCTATACCAAACCAGCTCTGCCAATACCTTTACTGGGCAGCAGAGTCGTTATTATATGTTAAACTGTGTTCTAGTCTATCTGCTGGGGGATAGTTTGAGGAAGTAAGTATGCTGAGATAGAGACATCGTTCATACAATCCCCTTTGTTTTCTTATGATACAATATTCAGATGTATACAAGGAAGACATAAGAAGATATGACCTAAGATTCGGTATATATTACAAGTCAAATCCCACAGACTCTACCATTGTCTTCTGACAATCAGCATCGATAATCACAACATTTCCCAAATTCAGTACACAATTCCTCAGGCACGTGCCCACTGTAGGATTGTTCTAATTGTTGTGTCCCCTTCAGCAGCTAGATAACAGACATGATTATCTAGACGTTGTTCCCTCCCTGCAGAGTGGCTGACTGAGGATAGGAACAATACACTGAAACCTCTGGTCTCTTCTCTAATGGCCCGACTACATGTCTGTCTCTACGCTGATGCTAATGGTGTTTGTGTGTGTGTGTTTGTGCGTGTGCATGTGTTTGTGTGTGTGCATCCTCTTGTAATTACCATTATGACAGCGTAGCCACCGAGGATAGAGGGAAATCCGGCTGATTAAAATTCATGAACAGATTTCAGATCATGCATATTTATGGAATTGTTATAAGTAGGGATGGAAGGCTCTGTCATTTGAATTGTATATTGTGAGTTCCTTTAGTTTTGAGCGGTCTGGGAAATCAGTCAGGACTGAGGTTCTGGATGATTAGCTAAGCTTCTCGCTAGGAGACTTTGCTTAATAGATTCTTGCTGGAAAAAAATGCCTCTGGTCCTTTGCAATGGATGACATTTTGGCGTATACACACACACAGCCACGGACACATGTGCACCCGCCCACATGCACACAAGGTTTGGGCACTTCAAAGAGGACCCAGTCACACTAAGAACTTTGAAAACTAACAGATTCTTCTCTACCAATAACATTATTATTATTATATATAATGTGGACAGGACTGGAAAGACAGTCTCACACACACACACACACACACACACACACACACACACACACACACACACACACACACACACACGCTGTGAGAACTAGCCTAGTGAGGTTCTTCCAGACCAATAAGACTATTATAACAGCTAAGGAGGACAGGGCTGGAAAAACACTCAGCTTTAAAATATCACCAACATCTGGTTCTAATAAAAATTTTGTTCTCAGTCCCCTCATATGTTATTCAAGTATATAACAAAAGAAACCACTCTATGGACTATTATATGGAAATGTATGTAATACTATAAATGTATAACGTATAGTCTGGGCCTCTGTCATGATCCCTGGTGAGTCTGCAGTTAAAATTGAACCACACTGATCTCACTTGTATTATATTTTCAGTTATGGATTTATATTAAAAACGCTAAGCTCCTCCAAATGTACAGGTCCATTTTATTTGGACTTAATTTCAACATATTTCATGAAATCCATTAGCAGAATTGTTTTCTATAAGGATTTGGATAGTTTCGCTGTGATCAGTCCCTATATATAGCAGCTTCCCTGCACTCTGAGTTGTCATTGTGAGAGCTGCATTGTGAAGTTCATTAAATGAGCACACAGGGAGATTTGGAGGCTGAGTTTGTGTAAACCCTGAATAACTGAATACATGGTTTTAACTCCGGAAAGCTGAGTTTTTTGAAGCAGTGCCTTCTGAAAGTATTCTCACCCTTTGACTTTTTCCACATTTTGTTGTGTTACAAAGTGGGATTAAAATGGATTTAATATAATTATTTTGCCAACGATCTACACAAAATACTCATATCAAAAGTGGAAGAAAAATTCTAACATTTGTAAAAAAAAATCTATTAAAAATAAAACAGTAATATATCTTGATCAGATAGAAGGCTGAAAAGATTTAGCATGGGCCCTCAGATCCTCAAGAAGTTCTACAGCTGCACCATTGAGAGCATCTTGACTGGCTGCATCACCGCTTGGTATGGCAACTGCTTAGCATCCGACCGTAAGGCGCTACAGGGGGTACATCACTGGGGCCGAGCTCCCTGCCATCCAGGACCTCTATACCAGGCGGTGTCAGAGGAAAGCCACCCAAGCCAAAAGCTATGTTTCCATTAACTTGTGCAGTGATTTTTTGTTGACATTTAGAAAGTTCGCATAGAAAATAGATGCATCAATTTCCTGCTAGGGTGCATTTCCATTTAACTATTGTGTGTCGATCAAAACAGCTGGACGTAATGATATCAACCCCCCCCCCCCAAAAAAAAAGAAGCATAAATGTAGTGGTTGAAGTGTTTCCATTACCCACTTAGATAAATTACGCATTAATAAATTGGCGACACCTATCTGTTTCATGTCTGAGGTAGCCTGCGAAAACCAACATGGATAGAATGCAATAATTTACAAATATTTGCCATATCCTAATAATTATCATGTGCCAATGTATCGCCACGGTCTGAGCCATGGTGAAACATGCACTCCTGTAAATCTGAAATAATTGGAAGGGAAACTTGCCAGCCAACCAGAAAAGCAAGGCGAAGCAATTCAGGCATTCGGTTTGGAGCGTTGGGCCGGTGGCCGAGAGGTGGCTGGTTCGGGTCCCCGATTCGACTAGGTGGGGGATCTGTCGATGTGCATTTGGGCGGGGCGCTTGACCCTGGTTGCTCCTGTGGGTCGCTCTAGATGGGATTTTCTGCTAGATGACTGGAATGTGATGTAAATGTTGAGCGGCTTCACTGCAGGTAGATTGTATGTTTTAAAATTCCATAAAAATAAATCAATAAATCAGGCATTCTTGAAAGTCAGGACAATCTTTGTCCTGCAAAGAAACATTATTTTTATAGTTGAAAAAGTGATTTTGCAAGCAGTAGGCCTAGGCATTTAGAATTAAATATGGAGTGGAGCGTTATAGTTACGCGGTGACATCATATGCCTGCCTACCTTCAAAATGATTCGGCATCATCATTTATTAGAAAAACACAATTTCCATCATCATTTGTCGCAATAAAGAAAGTTAGACAAAAGAAAAATCACCCCTGTCGAACAGATAACATTTTTGTTGATCTTTAGAAAATGTCTCCTATATCTACATGTTAAACCCTATTATTGCACATGCAACTTATTATGTGACTTGTTAAGCAAATGTATATTCCTGAACTTATTTAGGCTTGACATAACAAAGGGGTTGAATACTTATTGACTAAAGACATTTCAGCTTTTCATTTTTAATTAATTTGTAACAATTTCGGGAAAACATAATTCCACTTTGACATTATGGGGTATTGTGTGTAAGCCAGTGACAAAAAATCTGAATTTAATCAATTTTAAATTCAGGCTGTAACACAACAAAAAGTGGAATAAGTCAAGGGGTGTGAATACTTTCTGAAGGCACTGTAGGACTGTTATTACACTGGGGGGAAAATATCACTGCATTGAGTGTGCTAGATTTTGTACTTTCTTAAGTGTGACTGGAAAGTCAAGGCAGAGTTTGACTGGCTGATTTGATTGGTTTCACCCTATCCAACCCTCTCAGATCTGGGATTACTTGAGGAAAAGAAGGAAGGAAAGAATCAGAGCGGCCCATCGTCACTGTGGTTCCATTGGGTCAGTACTGTACAGTCCTTCTCCTCCTTAATCAGCTAAGAGACAGCAGGGACGGCTGGACTGGATCCACCCTCCTTAGAGCCAAGGAAAAGACAGATTAATACTGATATCCTCCTGGAGCACAGAACTCAGGTCCAAGAGAGAGAGATGGAGAGATCTGGAATGAAAGAGAGAGAGGGAAAGAGACACTGGGGGACAGTTCAGAGACTGGGGGAGAGAGAGAGAAGAAAATGAGAAAGCTAATGGGGGTTACAGAGTGTGTGTGATGGATGACATCTCACCTTCACGGTAATTAAGAGCAGCTGTTTCCTGAGGGGAGATCCAGAGCCTAGTGAACCCAGTGGCCGCCCACACAAACCTGCTGAGGGGAGAGAACAGAGGGAGGGAGGAAAGGAAAAGAGAGAGAGAGAAATTAAATGATGAGAAAAACAAAGTGTGAACTCTCTCCCCCTGGCAGACGTTAACAGAGCGTGGCCGGGCCCAGGGAGGAAAACTAACAGCCTTTAATTATTTTCACCAGGAGGGTAAAAGAAAGAGAGGAAAATAAAAACAGCATTAGTTGATGATGAATGTGGTGAGAGGAGACATGTCATTTACCTTTTAGGATTACACAGAGAACACTTGAATTAGTTTTCCACAGATCCACAATCTCAGATTACACATGATAGTGATTCGGGAGATTTATGGGAGATAATCTTCTAGATTTCTTTTCTCTCTCTTTTCTCTCTCCAGCCTCAAGGACTTGCAGCTTCTCTTAAAAACTCCTTCTCTGTAATAAAACACACTTGAGTTATTCACAGCGCCAGACACTTTCTTTTCGAGGCTTCGCCAGACACAGCCAGTATAGAAGCAGGACTTATTTGCTTTGCAGCCTCTTTAGAACAGCAAATATTGCAATGTAGGAACTTATGTTGAGCACTGGAATCTTTCTGATAGCATCACATAGAATCAATCTCACTCCTACACACGCACTCTTCACACTCACCTGCTGGCAAACTTAAATCTGCTGTGAGGACTTGATTAATGATTTCAGTTCTGATTCTACATTCTTATATTTATATCTGTATCCCTGACTATATGTATCCCTGACAATCTAAATCCCTGACTATCTGTATCCCTGACTATCTGTATCCTCACAGTAGCGACAGGCTTGTCTGACAGCTGCAGTCAGATTGGTTTCTACTCTAATTGTAGATCAGTGTCTGTTCTCTCGCTCAGACCCTGTGTGACTGTATAGGGCCTGAGAAAGCAGCCAGGGAGATTTCTGCTGATGTCTTGTCCATTCTACCACTCTCATCTTGTTGTGTTCTGAAGATATGAATAGGCTGTGTCCATCTATCTCTGTCTCTGTCTCTGTCTCTGTCTCTGTCTCTGTCTCTATCTCTATCTCTATCTCTATCTCTGTCTCTGTCTCTGTCTCTGTCTCTGTCTCTGTCTCTGTCTCTGTCTCTGTCTCTCTCTATCTCTATCTCTATCTCTATCTCTATCTCTATCTCTATCTCTATCTCTATCTCTATCTCTATCTCTATCTCTATCTCTATCTCTATCTCTATCTCTATCTCTATCTCTATCTCTATCTCTATCTCTGTCTCTGTCTCTGTCTCTGTCTCTGTCTCTGTCTCTGTCTCTGTCTCTGTCTCTGTCTGCACCTCTCTTCTGCTCTCTTCCTCTCCTCCAGACTAACTTTTCTTCTCTTCCCTCTCTCCTCCAGATTCTATCTGTATCCAGGGTTTTGACCCAGGGTTGGGTCTCTTAGCTCCCATCAACCCCATGATGGCAGGTATCAGCCTGGTCCCTCCTCCCCCTGGTCCCCCTGAGATGCCCATCATCAAGGAGATCATCCACTACCAGAGCTGCACCCTCTTCCCTCAGAACCCCAGTAAGACTCACACACGCACCAACACACATCCATGTGCACACACACACACACACACATACACATGGACGCACACACACACGGACACACTCACTCTTGCATGCTTTTCTATCCTTTTTGTCTAAATGAGTATAAATGCGTTCAGATATTGACTGTCCGTAATATGGTCAAAGGAATTGCCACTAGATGTGACCTGAGCATGTATGTTGTTCCAGACCTGCCTCCTCCGTCAACACGGGAGCGGCCCCCAGGGTGTAAGACGGTGTTTGTGGGGGGTCTGCCTGAGAATGCCAGCGAGGAGATCATCAGGGAGGTGTTTGATCAGTGTGGTGAGATCATTGCCATCAGGAAGAGCAAGAAGAACTTCTGTCACATCCGCTTCAGTGAGGAGTTCATGGTGGACAAGTCCCTCTACCTCTCTGGTCAGTACTATACAATACCAATACTATATCTATACACACAACTTATATACAATGCTGTCTACCTCTCCGGTCAATACTATACTATACTACTGTATACTATACTTTAATATACTACTGTATACTTTACTATACTATACTATACTACTGTATGCTTTACTTTACTATGCTATACTTTACTTTACTATTGTATGCTATACTATACTCTACTACGCAAATGCTATGCTATACACACAACATATAGACACAATCCTCTACCTCTCTGGTCACTGGTCAGCATAACTACTGTATATGTTTGCAGCAGTTTTAAAGTATTCAGTTTTAATAGAATATGTATTAACAATATGAATATGAATATGTGTCCTGAAGTTCAACACTTAAAGCAGAAGAGAGAAATTAAATGATAACAACTATGCAGGCTGGAGCCAAAATAAATAGAATGTAGCTATGCAGGCTGGAGGTGAAAGAAATAGACTGTAGCTATGCAGACTGGAGGTGAAAGAAATAGACTGTAGCTATGCAGGCTGGAGGTGAAAGAAATAGATTGTAGCTATGCAAGCTGGAGGTGAAAGAAATAGACTGTAGCTATGTAGGCTGGAGGTGAAAGAAATAGATTGTAGCTATGCAGGCTGGAGGTGAAAGAAATAGACTGTAGCTATGCAAGCTGGAGGTGAAATAAATAGACTGTAGCTATGCAGGCTGGAGGTGAAAGAAATAGACTGTAGCTATGCAGGCTGGAGGTGAAAGAAATAGACTGTAGCTATGCAGGCTGGAGGTGAAAGAAATAGACTGTAGCTATGCAAGCTGGAGGTGAAATAAATAGACTGTAGCTATGCAAGCTGGAGGTGAAAGAAATAGACCGTAGCTATGCAGGCTGGAGATGTGAATATGGATAGTTGAAAATGTAGAGTTTGTCCTTTTGGTTTGCTAATGGTCTTTGTGGTGGTACGTGGGGTAGAGAATGTAGGCATTTGTAATATTGTATACTTTGATTGTATCTGACTGTATGAGTATGAGTTTACATGACTGGATACACAATTTGTGTGTTGTGTGTTTGTCTGTGTACATGTGTATATATGTGTCTGTGTGTGAGTGTGTTGAATGTACAGTGGGGAAAAAAAGTATTTAGTCAGCCACCAATTGTGCAAGTTCTCCCACTTAAAAAGATGAGAGTGGCCTGTAATTTTCATCATAGGTACACGTCAACTATGACAGACAAATTGAGAAAAAGAAATCCAGAAAATCATATTGTAGGATTTTTAATGAATTTATTTGCAAATTATGGTGGAAAATAAGTATTTGGTCACCTACAAACAAGCAAGATTTCTGGCTCTCACAGACATGTAACTTCTTCTTTAAGAGGCTCCTCTGTCCTCCACTCGTTACCTGTATTAATGGCACCTGTTTGAACTTGTTATCAGTATAAAAGACACCTGTCCACAACCTCAAACAGTCACACTCCAAACTCCACTATGGCCAAGACCAAAGAGCTGTCAAAGGACACCAGAAACAAAATTGTAGACCTGCACCAGGCTGGGAAGACTGAATCTGCAATAGGTAAGCAGCTTGGTTTGAAGAAATCAACTGTGGGAGCAATTATTAGGAAATGGAAGACATACAAGACCGCTGATAATCTCCCTCGATCTGGGGCTCCACGCAAGATCTCACCCCGTGGGGTCAAAATGATCACAAGAACGGTGAGCAAAAATCCCAGAACCACACGGGGGGACCTAGTGAATGACCTGCAGAGAGCTGGGACCAAAGTAACAAAGCCTACCATCAGTAACACACTACGCCGCCAGGGACTCAAATCCTGCAGTGCCAGACGTGTCCCCCTGCTTAAGCCAGTACATGTCCAGGCCCGTCTGAAGTTTGCTAGAGTGCATTTGGATGATCCAGAAGAGGATTGGGAGAATGTCATATGGTCAGATGAAACCAAAATATAACTTTTTGGTAAAAACTCAACTCGTCGTGTTTGGAGGACAAAGAATGCTGAGTTGCATCCAAAGAACACCATACCTACTGTGAAGCATGGGGGTGGAAACATCATGCTTTGGGGCTGTTTTTCTGCAAAGGGACCAGGACGACTGATCCGTGTAAAGGAAAGAATGAATGGGGCCATGTATCGTGAGATTTTGAGTGAAAACCTCCTTCCATCAGCAAGGGCATTGAAGATGAAACGTGGCTGGGTCTTTCAGCATGACAATGATCCCAAACACGAAGGAGTGGCTTCGTAAGAAGCATTTCAAGGTCCTGGAGTGGCCTAGCCAGTCTCCAGATCTCAACCCCATAGAAAATCTTTGGAGGGAGTTGAAAGTCCGTGTTGCCCAGCGACAGCCCCAAAACATCACTGCTCTAGAGGAGATCTGCATGGAGGAATGGGCCAAAATACCAGCAACAGTGTGTGAAAACCTTGTGAAGACTTACAGAAAATGTTTGACCTGTGTCATTGCCAACAAAGGGTAAATAACAAAGTATTGAGAAACTTTTGTTATTGACCAAATACTTATTTTCCACCATAATTTGCAAATCAATTCATTAAAATCCTACAATGTGATTTTCTGGATTATTTTTTCTCATTTTGTCTGTCATAGTTGACGTGTACCTATGATGAAAATTACAGGCCTCTCTCATCTTTTTAAGTGGGAGAACTTGCACAATTGGTGGCTGACGAAATACTTTTTTCCCCCACTGTATCTGTATGGTTGTGTTTAGTGTATCTGACCGCTAACTGCCATGTTTCTCCAGGCTACCGGATGCGTATCGGCTCCAGTACAGATAAGAAGGACTCAGGGAGGATGCACGTGGACTTTGCTCAGGCCAGAGACGACCTATATGAGTGGGAATGTCAACAGAGGCTGCTGGCCAGGGAGGAACGACACCGACGCAAGATCAACGAAGACTTCCTCCGCCCGCCCTCGCCACCTCCCATCATGCACTTCTCCGAGCATGAGGCGGGACAGCTGGCGGAGAGATTGAAAGGTGAGTGGACCAATGAGCATGATGTGTGTGTATGTCACCCCCACCCTCTACCACTATGTCCAGCTGTGCCTCTAGCTGCTGGCTGCCGCTGTGTGTGCTGCGTGTGCTGCAGGTGGGCCATGGTGGTGGATAAATGTGTGTAATGGTCCAAACTGCACACTGTTTTACAGAGCCCGTCCTAATTTACAGTATAGGAATAATCTATAATTATTGTCTTAGTATCATATAGAGCAATGTACCATTCCTCTGTCATGTCAAATTGATAAGAAATGTCAGACGGAATTACCTATGAAAATGGTTACATTACCGTTTACATTTATCATTTCTCATATAATCTAAATGAGTTATTGATCTAAAACACTGTCTGCTAGAACTCTCTGACACACTACACATCCTCTATCTGCATGAGAAGTACAGTCATGGCTATCATTTTCCTTCCTTATAACACCCTCAATACTGTTATTATAACCCAGTAGCATTACCTTAATATGTGGATCTGAAATCCTTCCTGGACAGAGAGCTAGTGTAATGACATCATGCTGTGTTATCATCTGTTCTTTACTTAACAGACAGAGAGATGTAAATAACCTGAGGCAGAGAGAAAGGGAGTGAGGGATGAATTGTGGAGGTGATGTAGAAAAAGAGAGGAGTGAGAGATGAGGGATGAGCTGTTGCACAGGTGTGTGGAGGTCAATGCTCAACCTCTTAAATCCTTTCTTCTTTTATCTTCACCCTCTCCTCCCTCTGTTCCCTCTCCTCCCTCTGTTCCCTCTTCTCCCTATGTTCCCTCTCCTCCCTCTCCTCCCTCTGTTCCCTCTCCTCCCTCTACTCCCTCTACTCCCTCTGTTCCCTCTCCTCCCTCTCCTCCCTCTCCTCCCTCTGTTCCCTCTCCTCTCTCAGTTCCCTCTCCTCCCTCTCCTCCCTCTCCTCCCTCTCCTCCCTCTGTTCCCTCTCCTCCCTCTCCTCCCTCTCCTCCCTCTGTTCCCTCTCCTCCCTCTCCTCTCTCTGTTCCCTCTCCTCCCTCTCCTCCCTCTCCTCCCTCTGTTCCCTCTGTTCCCTCTCCTCCCTCTCCTCCCTCTGTTCCCTGTTCCCAAGTTTAATCTGATAGGGGAGTTTGACTCTGTTGCCCCCTCTACCTCATCAGCCATCAGTCAGCTCCAACCCCTACAGCAGTAACAACAGACATGTCACATGAACCATTGGAGGAGTCACATTGATACAATAGATATGAGGCAGAGAGTCTTTTTCTCTATCATCTCTCAATGAAGCGTATGATAATGTGATGGGTCACGGCTGGGAGATGTCATGCTGTGTTCTCACCAGTTACCACCCCTCCCACCCCCCTCCCCTTATTGTACACCCCTTCCTTCCCTTCATCACATTCCCTGGAGCTCAGAATTCCTAGATTTCTTTGTCACGCTGGTGGGAAATGTGTGTCGTCCTGCCTCCTCATTCCAATCGCTGATGCTTCATTTCTTTTCCCATTCTGTGCTTTCCTGCTAATATTGCTTCTCTCTTTCTCTCTCTCTGTGCGATCTTCCTTGTCCCCCTATTCTGTTCAGAGCGGTGTTTGAAAGTGTTCTGTTTCTTCATAATCATATTCATTCAAACAGCCTCTGGTTAATGCTTTTACATTCTCAGGCGGGTAAATACCTTAATCATATTCATTACAACATTACAGAGCATTACTCTGTCTCTCTCTCAACTCACATACAGCTGCTTCTATGAAGGGATGCTTAAAGCCTTCACACTGAGGCTGCAGCACTAGAGACTGCCTGACTGTTGGTCACAATAGATGACAGAGAGAGAGGAGGGGAGCGAAGAGGGCGAGCCAGAGTGTGTGTGTCTTTATATATGAGTGAGTCTGTGTCACACACATATCAAGCGATGAGTAGGTAAACGCTCGCACAAAATAAAGAAAGGTTTACGCTCCACTACACCACTGGCTATTACTACAGAGATGTTTAGTTCTCCAAGAAGCTTTTCATTACACATAGCCAAACACAGAGAGATATTTTGCTTTGATTATTAATTGAAAAGGCTAGGGAAATAGACTTCCATTATTCCCTGTGTTGTGCTGGCCCGCAATACCTTCATGTGACTTCTCTATAATATGATTGTATGATTGTACTCTGCAGGCTCTTCTGAATAGGACTAGAGCTGTGCGGTGAAAAGTGTTTTCAGCCAAGTGACAGTGTGCTCTCAGGTCATGTTGCAGTGGGTATTGAGCTCATTAAACGATTTCTAATTCACTCTGTGCTGTGCGATCAGACGCGGCTCTGTGGCACTTTTCAATTATTATTCAAATGTGAAGAATACATTCAACAAAGGCCCACCGAGACACAGACAGTTAAAGAGTCTATGCTCACTCAACAACTCGTTTCTGTTGATTCCAACCCAGAAATGCATTTTGTGTTGAGAACGGACTGTGTGGTCTCATCCACTCAGAAGATATGAAACAGTCTGATAGTTAATCTCCCCATGCTGTTCTGTTCCTGTGCACTGAAGCATGAAGGAAAGAGAAATATCATTTCTTTAAAGTACATGGCCGTATACACTGAACAAAAATGTAAATGCAACATGTAAAGTGTTGGTCCTACTTGTCATGAGCAGAAATAAAATCAAATTTTCCATACGCACAAAAATATAATTTCTCTCAAATTTTGTGCACAAATTTGTTTACATCCCTGTTAGTGACCATTTATACTTTGCCAAGATAATCCATCCACCTGACAGGTGTGGCATATCAAGAAGCTGATTAAACAGCATGATCAATTCACAGGTGCACCTTGTGCTGGGGACAAAGAAAGTCCACTCTAAAATTTTACGTTTTGTCACACAACACAATGAGGGAGGGAGCGTGCAATTGACATGCTGACTGCAGGAATGTCCACCAGAGCTGTTGCCAGATAATTTAATGTTCGTTTCTGTACCATAAGCCGCCTTCAACGTTGTTTTAGAGAATTTGGCAGAATGTCCAACTGGCCTCACAACCACAGACTACAGTTTGCACAACTGAAGAATTTCTGCACAAACTGTCAGAAATCGTCTTGGGGAAGCTCATCTGCGTGCTCGTCGTCCTCCCCAGGGTCTTGACCTGACAGCAGTTCGGCATCGTAACCGACTTCAGTGGGCAAATACTCACCTTCGATGGCCACTGGCACGCTGGAGGTATCTGTGGTATCTGTGACCAACAGATGCATATCTGTATTCCCAGTCATGTGAGATCCATAGATTAGGGCCTAATGAATTTATTTCATTTGACAACTTTCCTTATACTGTCTGAACTGTAACTCAGTAAAATCTTTGTTGTTGCATGTTGCATTTATATTTTTGTTCAGTGTAGCTTATTTCAAGAAATACCAAAGTGCAGTTTCGTAGGCTTTCAGTTTCACGGTTTAAAAACCTTACCCTAAATCTTCTCCTCTCCTCTCGCTCTCCTCCAGATGACCATAAGTTCAGCGAGGCGACTGCAGTCCTGTTCACGTGGATCGACCATGGTGAGGTCAACCGGCGGTCAGCCAATCACTTCTACTCTATGATCCAGTCGGCCAATAGCCACGTCCGGAGGCTGATGAGTGAGAAGGCCCAGCACGAGGAGGAGATGGAGCTAGCTAAGGAGACGTTTAAAAATGCCCTGCTGGCCATACTGACTCAGTGTAAGCATCTAACTAGACACACTATACACTACCTGTAACACTTAATTCTCATAAACCCTTCCTAGACACAGTGCACTACAGGTACCTTTCACATAGCACTAAAGGCCAGTTGTTCTATACAGCTGTACAGTGATAAGCCAGTAGTTGGGGAGGGTGACACTAGTCAGAGACCAGACAGAGGTAAGTACAGTACAGTGTCCTGAGCGTTCTACAGGAGAGGACCAACTGATCTACCTAACTCCCAGGTAGGCATCGTAGAACAGTATCCCTCCAGCAGGCACTCTCAAACAATGTCAATGTACAGTATGGACTGATATTGAAATTATATGAAATACGATCTGGAAAGACAATGAGATGACAACAAGATTTATCAACGTCTTATGACTGTTTAAATGGTGCTATTTTGAATCGTATTTTTTATGCTCAACACTGGGAAATAAAACAGAGCTATATAGTCCTCTGGTGTTGCTTTAACATGAAAATCCATGAAGCAAAGTCCAGAGATACAGAATCACCAGAAGAGGGGATGATGAGGGGATGTAGTTTTAATGTTGACATGGTCACAGTGCACTTGTCCAGTAGTAATAATTACACTTTTTAAACGTCCTATTGTTTATTGAAGATGAATATGACAGTATGCAATCAGAACAGAAAAAAACTTTAAGGGCAACATTATTCTACTGGTGGAAAGGATGGTGACGACTACAGACAATTCCCAAAAGAGTTATGAATGATTCATAACAAATTAAAGACACATTTTATGCAAGTTCAATAGTATGTCTAGACCTACTTTATCCATGAAAACATTTAGTATCACAAGCCAGCCACCCATTGTAGAATGTTGTCTTTGACAGTCCTGATGGAACTGAATCAACAGGTATGAAATGTAAGTACTGTACAGCACTGGGGAGGAGACACCAGGTAATACAATGACCGGCATTTAACCATATCAGGCCCTACAAACCAACAAAAACAATGTGTCAAAATCACAACCCACCCAATGATTCTCAATATTGTTGCTGTCAGATGAAAACCTTGTAACTCAGTTATTTCCAATGACTCTACGACCAAGAACATTTATTCAAAATAGCTTCTGAAGTTTCATAATTGTATGTTAATTAAAGCTGGAATCCGTAGTGGTGAAACTGCCACGTCCGTTTGCGATATTACAACAACAAAGACGTTACCTTAACCAACAATTATTATTATTATTTTTACATCATTGCACATTATTGCACGCGTGATAGAACATCAGAGTATGTACTACAGTGTTTTTTACCAAGTGGCCGAATGCTCCTTTCTTCCTTTCATAAACAAAACAAAACCAATAACAAATGTGCCTGGGCCTACGCGTGGAGCTCTTTCACCTAATGCAGATTCCAGCTTTAATGAGAAAATGTGGACGTATTTTTCAATTTCCTGAAATGTTTCTGTTTCGTAGATGAGAGGTTTTTATCCTACAGCGATGATATGTTGTTGGTGGGTGGTACAGGTAAATGCAATGGGGATCTACTAACCCAGGCTGGCAGGATGACGCTCCCTAGTGTCTCCTCTGTGTGCTGTTGTGCCTGGGTGGTACAGTAGGATCTAAGCTCTACATAAAGCCTTGTCTTGTCTTGACTCCCCTGTTCACCCGAAGTCGAGCAGATCACGGCTGTGTTCACCGCTGCCTCCAGGCAGAAGGCATGGGACCATTTCTCTAAAGCGCAGCGCAAGAACATAGACATTTGGAGAAAGCAGTGTGAGGTTGGTACTCTCTCCTTACCCCCTTATTCCTTGTCTTATTCCTTGTCAGGTTGACAGACAGACACTCTAGCCGGGTTGACATGAGTCCTACTGTGTTTCATGTTGCTGTTGTTACAGACTGCTGTGGCCTCACAGATACACAGACAGATGGACAGATAGATGGACAGACTGCTGTGGCCTCACAGATACACAGACCGATGGACAGACCACCATGCTGTTCTGATCTTCTGATGCTATGTGTTTCTCTCCTACAGTGCCATTCGTATACTGTTTCCTCACATCGATGAAACACACACACACACATGCACCCACACAGAGTTGGCAGGTAGCCTAGCGGTTAGAGCGTTGGGCCAGTTAACCGAAAGGTTGCTTGTTCGAATCCCCGAGCCGACAGGGTGAAAAATCTGTAGATGTGCCTTTGAGCAAGATTCAAGATGCAGAACCTTTGTGAAGACTAGTCTAGCTTATGGTGCCGGAGAAGATTTATTCTGTACATAATGTTTCTGCCACCGTCTCTTATGCCCGAAAAGAGCTTCTGGATATTAGGACAGCGATTACTCACCTCATATTGGACGAAGATTTTTTCTTCAACGAGTCGGACGCGAAGGATATTCTACAGACACCCGACAAGGCCCAAATCCCTGTCATTCGCATGAGAAAGAGACAGAGATATTGTGGACGTAAGTTGGGGTGCCTTTTAAGGAGCCAACGGCGAGCGAGTAAACTGCCTCTTCCATAACTCCTATTAGCCAATGTTCAATCATTTGAAAATAAATTGGACGACCTAAGATTAAGGTTATCCTACCAACGGGACACAAAAAACTGTAATATCTTATGTTTCACCGAGTCGTGGCTGAACGACGACATGGATAACATACAGCTGGCGGGATATACGCTACATCGGCAGGATAGAACGGCTGACTCCGGTAAGACAAGGTGTGGCGGTCTGTGTATATTTGTAAACAACAGCTGGGGCATAAAATCTAATACTAAGGAAGTCTCAAGGTTTTGCTCGCCTGAGGTAGAGTATCTCATGATAAGCTGTCGACCACACTATTTACCACACAAACCGATGCTGGCACTAAGATTGCACTCAATGAGCTGTATAAGGCCATAAGCAAACAGGAAAACGCTCATCCAGAGGCAGCGTTCCTAGTGGCCGGGGACTTTAATGCAGGGAAACTTAAATACGTTCTACCTAATTTCTACCAGCATGTTAAATGTGCAACCAGAGGAAAAAAAACTCTAGACCAGCTTTACTCCACACACAGAGAAGCATACAAAGCTCTCCCTCACCCTCCATTTGGCAAATTTGACCATAACTCTTTCCTCCTGATTCCTGCTAATAAGCAAAAACTAAAGCAGGAATCACCAGTCACTGTCTTCATCAATAAGTGCATCGATGACGTTGTCCCCACAGTGACCGTACATACCCTAACCAGAAGCCAAGGATTACAGGCAACATCCTCACTGAGCTAAAGGGTAGAGCTGCCGCTTTCAAGGAGCGGGCCTCTAACCGGGACGTTTATAAGAAATCCACTATACCCTCCGACGAACCATCAAACAGGCAAAGAGTCAATACAGGACTAAGATTGAATCGCACTACACCGGCTCCGACGCTCATCGGATGTGGCAGGGCTTGAAAACTATTACAGACTACAAAGGGAAGCACAGCCGCGAGCTGCCCAGTGACACAAGCCTACCAGACGAGCTAAATCACTTCTATGCTCCTTCGAGGCAAGCAACACTGAAGCATGCATGAAAGCATCAGCTGTTCCGGATGACTATGTGATCACGGCTCTCCGTAGCCGATGTGAGTAAAACTTTTAAGCAGGTCAACATTCACAAGGCCGCAGGGCTAGACGGATTACCAGGACATGTACTCCGAGCATGCGCTGACCAACTGGCAAATGTCTTCACTGACATTTTGAACATGTCCCTGACTGAGTCTGTAATACCAACATGTTTCAAGCAGACCACCATAGTCCCTGTGCCCAAGAACACTAAGATAACCTGCCTAAATGACTACCGACCCGTAGCACTCAAGTCTGTAGCCATGAAGTGTTTTGAAAGGCTGGTCATGGCTCACATCAACACCATTATCTCAGAAACCCTAGACCCACTCCAATTTGCATACCGCCCCAATATTTCCACAGATGATGCAATCTCTATTGCACTCCACACTGCCCTTTCCCACCTGGACAAGAGGAACACCTACGTGAGAATGCTATTCATTGACTACAGCTCAGTGTTCAACACCATAGTGCCCTCAAAGCTCATCACTAAGCTAAGGACCCTGGGACTAAACACCTCCCTCTGCAACTGGATCCTGGACTTCCTGACGGGCCGCCCCCAGGTGGTAAGGGTAGGTAACAATACATCTGCCACGCTGATCCTCAACACGGGGGCCCCTCAGGGGTGTGTGCTCAGTCCCCTCATGTACTCCCTGTTCACCCATGACTGCATGGCCAGGCACGACTCAAAAACCATCATTAAGTTTGCCGACGACACAACAGTGGTAGGCCTGATCACCGACAACGATGAGCCAGCCTATAGGGAGGAGGTCAAAGACCTGGCCGTGTGGTGCCAGGATAAGAATCTCTCCCTCAACGTGATCAAGACAAAGAAGATGATTGTGGACTACAGGAAGAAAAAAAAGAGGGCTGAGCACGCCCCCATTCTCATCGACGGGGGGCTGTAGTGGAACAGGTTGAGAGCTTCAAGTTCCTTGGTGTCCACATCTCCAACAAACTATCATGGTCCAAACACACCAAGACAGTCGTGAAGAGGGCACGACAAAGCCTATTCCCCCTCAGGAGACTGAAAAGATTTGGTATGGGTCCTCAGATCTTCAAAAAGTTCTACAGCTGCACCATCGAGAGCATCCTGACTGGTTGCATCACCGCCTGGTATGGCAGCTGCTCGGCCTCTGACCGCAAGCCACTACAGAGGGTAGTGCGTACGGCCCAGTACATTACTGGGGCCAAGCTTCCTGCCAGGACCTCTATACCAGGCGGTGTCAGAGGAAGGCCCTAAAAATTGTCAAAGACTCTAGCCACCCTAGTCATAGACTGTTCTCTCTGCTACCGCACGGCAAGCAGTACTGGAGCGCCAAGTCTAGGTCCAAAAAGCTTCTTAACAGCTTCTACCCCCAAGCCATAAGATTCCTGAACAGCTAATCATGGATACCCGGACTATTTGCATTGCCCCCACACCCCACCCCCACACCCTCTTTTACGCTGCTGCTACTCTGTTTATTATCTGTGCATAGTCACTTTAACTCTACGCACATGTACATATTACCTCGACTAACCGGTGCCCCCGCACATTGACTCTGTACCGGTACCACCTGTATATAGCCTCCCTACTGTTATTTTATTTTACTGCTGCTTTAAAATTATTTGCTATTTTAATTTGTTACTTATCTATTTTTTACTTAACACTTTTTTTATTTTCTTAAAACTGCATTGTTGTTTAAGGGCTTGAAAGTAAGTATTTCACTGTAAGGTCTACACCTGTTGTATTCGGCGCATGTGGCAAATAACATTTTATTTTATTTTATTTAATTGCTCCAGGGTTGCTGTTTATTATGGCAGACTCTGGCCGTGACATTGGAAATGTGTTTTTTGCATATTCCAACTCTCCCTGAGACACCCTCAGGGAGTGGGGATATGCAAAAAAAACACATTTCCAATTCACACTTGTAAATAGGACAAATATAAGCACCCATCAAATTATTTATTTTATTACACCCACAAGCGCAGATGTAACCTTCTAGAAAGTGTGAGCGGGTGCTTTGGTATCAGAGGCTTCCAGGGTTAAGACTCAGATCAATAATTCATTGGGAGTATAACGAGTCAGCATTCTGGAATATTCATTACGTAAGGGATAATCAACGAGGGGCTATGCATTCTCTGGAAAATAGTGCACGACGTGGAAGGTGTGTTCCACGACGCGTTAGTGGAGTGGAACCCACCTTCCACAGAGTTGCATTATTTTCCATAGAACACATAAAGCCCTGAGTTGATTATCAATTTTATACCATGGCAAGAAATTAACATATTTGCCGCTAGAAATGTATTAATTTGGCAGTAGAAATGTGACAACATCCACTGAAGTAGCTTTACTAGCTAGCTAGATAGCTACAGTAGTTGCCGTGGTAACCAAACAAACAGACTTGTTAGCTTAGCTAACCAAACCATCATCCTATCTTGCTATTATTAAAATCGAATTAAACTATGCCAATAATGTTTTCAATTCGACTTTTGCTATCAAAAGCAGCTCAAAAATAGAATGAACTTCATAGCCATTTAATTATACCGTGCAATTATACTGTGCGTTCTAGGGAAACAATGTATGCTCTAGAATGCCCTTCAAACCAATCAGAAACGAGTATTCAACAATGCGATGGTATAAATGTTAGTTATCACTTTCATTAGAACTAAACAAAAACATCCTATTGATCTCATGGAATTGGAATCTTTTAGGTTGTAGAAACACTGCACAAACCTGGATGTGAAAAATATATTATTATACACCCCCTTGGTCTTGATTTGGCCATTTGGAGACCATGAATTGAAAGTAATGATATGAGGATGTCTGTCTGTGGGGACCAGAGTTATCAGGACAGATGTTAACCTAATATGACCATTCATACTAGGGTTGGGCGGTATCCAGATTTTCATACCTTCATACCATACTGTTCCTGTACCATACTGGGGTATACGGTATTACCGGCAGTGCACACAAGTGGCGCTATTTCTATCCAAACATTAAAGAAACGCACAAAACAAATTTAGGCAGCAGGGATCCTGAACCAGGAGGGGATTGATTGTCTCTGCTGAAACCTATAAGCTTGATTTGACCTTGCAAGCTAGCCCCCCCCCCCCCCCCCCCCCCCACCCCGGTATATACGGTATACCGCCCAAGCCTAATTCATACTGCAAGCCCTCTATGTTCATACAGTACATGTCTCTAAGTCAAGTCGGTGAGAAAGGAATCATCACTATTGTCATAGCAACCAGAGGTAAGGCATTGCTTTGGAAGAAGTGACACACAGTGGAGTGAGTCTTGCTAGAATGCCACCATTGTGAAATCCTTCGTTAAGGGTCAGTAGTATGCTTGGTAAGTGTTCAAGTAGTTCAAGTAAGGTACTGTAACTCTGCAGCCTGAAGCGTCATAGATTATCTGAATGACAAATGGCTGTGAATTAATTAGCTACTGATGTCAGTATCCACATCCTCCATGACAGTAGTATGAAATTACAGTTTGAATATGAACTGATAATGGAGACGGCAGAAATCATGAGATCAGATACGGCTCTAAATACCATTGGTCTTCATGCCCTACTGTAGCTTCTAAGAAAAAGGCTCTGGCTGGTTCAGTACTGCAGCTCACAGTCACACATAACAAAGCCCTCCATCCAACCCTCTCTCCCTTCTCTCTCTTCCTTCTCTTCTCATAACTCCATCCCACTCTCCCATAGCTGAGTCATTGCTAAGCATATTTACTCTATCTGAGGAGAGATTTCACAGTGGTGGTATTAGACAGCCTCACAGCTGAGATAGTACTAGTTATCAGAGCAGCTGGAAGAATGAGATGATTTCTATGCTCTGTCTTTAGCATGTTTTTAAAAATGAATCGTTCAAACTGCCCATAGGCACAGATCTAGGATCAGTTTACCGTACCCCCTAAATCCTAACCATAACCCTTGGGGACGTGAAACACAAAACTGATGTTGGATCAGTGTCTAAGGCCAATTTGATCCTCTTCCACCACAGACTCTGTCCACAGGTACAACATATAAAGTTTGTTTTAGAACACATTACCAGGAGCAGTCTGGTTGAAACCATTTTTAGACAGGCATCTGGCTGGGTGTATAGGACTGAGAAACTGAGGGGTCCTTGTGTTGTGATGTGACAGGAGCTGAGAAATGCCCACAGTGAGGAGATCATGGGGATTCGCCGGGAGGAGGAGATGGAGATGTCTGACGACGACTCGGATGAGAGCCCCTGTAAGAAGATACGCATGGAGGAAAACGGTAGGACAGACACAAGCCCAATCCCAAATCTACGCCTGGCATAGTCCATATCCCCTAGCCCTTGGCCCTTAACCCCTAGCCCCTAGGCACTTGTACCTTTTAATGATGGCAGGCCACTGTAGCTCATAAATCACCAGACTGCTAAAGTATACAGTGCCTTCAGAAATTATTCATACCCCTTGACTTATTCCACATTTTGTTGTGTTACAGCCTGAATTCAAAATGGAGTAAATAGATGTTTTATCTCACACATCTACACACAATACCCCATAATGACAAAGTGAAACCATGTTTTTAGAAATGTTTGCAAATGTATTGAAAAGGAAATACAGAAATATCTCATTTACATAAGTATTCACACCCCTGACTCAATACATGTCAGAATCACCTTTGGCAGTGATTACAGCTGTGAGTCTTTCTGGTTAAGTCTATAAGAGCTTTGCACACCTGGATTGTACAATATTTGCACATTATTATTTTTTAAATTCTTCAAACTCTGTCAAGTTGGATGTTGATCATTGCTAGACAGCCATTTTCAAGATTTTCAAGACGATTTAATTTAAAACTGTAATTAGGCCACTCAGGAACATTCAATGTCGTCTTGGTAAACAACTCCAGTGTATATTTGGCCTTGTGTTTTAGGTTATTGTCCTGCTGAAAGATGAATTTGTCTCCCAGTGTCTGTTGGAAAGCAGACTGAACCAGGTTTTCCTCTAGGATTTTGCCTGTGCTTAGCTCTATTCCGTCTCTTTTTATCATAAAAAACTCCATAGTCCTTGCCGATGACAAGCATTCCCATAACATGATGCAGCTACCACCATGCTTGAAAATATGAAGAGTGGTACTCAGTCATGTGTTGTGTTGGATTTGCCCCAAACATAATGCTTTTATATTCATGACATAAAGTTCATTTCTTTGCCAAATGTTTTACAGTTTTACTTTAGTGCCTTATTGCAAATAGGATGCATGTTTTGGAAATATTTGTATTCTGTAAATGCTTCCTTCTTTTCAATCTGTCATTTAGGTTAGTATTGTGGATAACAAAAATGTTGTTGATCCATCCTCAGTTTTCTCCTATCACAGCCATTAACTGTTTTAAAGTCATCATTGGCCTCATGGTGAAATCCCTGAGCGGTTTCCTTCCTCTCTGGCAACTGAATTAGGAAGGACATCTGTATCTTTGTAGTGACTGGGTGTATTGATGCACCATCCAAAGTGTAATTAATAACTTCACCATGCTCAAAGGGATATTCAATGTCAGATTTTTTTTTTTTTTACCCATCTACCAATAGGTGCCCTTCTTTGCGAGGCATTGGAAAACCTCCCTGGTCTTTGTGTGTGTGTATGTGTGCGTGTGCGTGTGTGCGTGTATATGTGTATTTGTGTGTATGTTGTGTCTAACCCGCTCTCCCCTCCTCCTCTCCAGGAGTGTGTGGCCAGTCTGGGGCCTCTCTGAGGGAGGAGAATGACTCTCTGCGCTGGCAGCTGGATGCCTACAGGAACGAGGTGGAGCTGCTGAGGAAGGAGCAAGGCAAGACCTGCCGCCCTGACGACCCTGAACACTTCCCCGACACACACACACACCTGCTGCAGCAGAGCATGCACAACATGCAACAGGTACACACACCTGCTACAGCAGAGCATGCACAACATGCAACAGGTACACACACCTGCTACAGCAGAGCATGCACAACATGCAGCAGTTACATTCCACCATCTACACCTGTATCATACTGCACCTGTGATTACACTATTGTGATTGTGATTATACCAACAGTAATTGCAGTGGTGGAAAAAGTACTCAACTCATACTTGAGTAAGAGTACAAAGTAAAAGTAAATGCTATACTGTACATCAAATTCCTTATATTAAGCAAACCAGACGGCACGATTTTCTTGTTTTTTTAAAATTTACGGACAGCCAGGGGCACACTCCAACACTCAGACATAATATGCAAACACAGTATTTGTGTTTAGTGAGTCCGCCAGATCAGAGGTAGTAGGGATGACAACACATTATATTGATTGGTGTGTGAATTAGACATTTCTTTGTTTTTTTTACCCTTATTTTACCAGGTAAGTTGACTGAGAACACATTCTCATTTACAGCAATGACCTGGGGAATAGTTGTCCTGCCTGAGCATTCAGAATGTGGGCTGGGCATCCTGAAGATGCATGACACTATAATTATAACATAAATCAAATCAAAAAATGTAACGAGTACTTTTAGGTGTCAGGGAAAATGTATGAAGTAAAAAGTACATATTTTCTTTAGGAATATAGTGGAGTAAAAGTAAAAGTTGTACAAAATATAAATAGTAAAGTAAAGTACAGATACCCCCCCAAAGAAGACTGAAGTAGTACTTTCAAGTATTTTTACTTACACCACTGAGTAATTGATAAAGCATCAATACAATACAGTGCCAACACTGCCATCACATGCTGCAGGTATTTGGACCGGTGCTTTCACCAGCAAAAGGTCATAGCACAAGTACATAGGACACAGAGCATTAGAGACTGATGTATTCTGACTCCTGTCTACCGCAATCACAATCCCTCCCTTTACAACCTGACTCAGACAGACCAACACACCACAACACACAGTCACACCTCTGCTTACTGTTGTTCCTGCTTACTCTAGCACTAACACCTTCTGCCACTGGTGTCTCCTCTGTGTTCATCATCTTCTCTGTTGTTTTTGTCCTCCCAGCACTGTGTGGTTCTCTCTGTGTCTCTCTATCTAACTGTGTTGTGGTCTGTTGTGTAACTGTCTATCTCTGTGTCTCTCTATCTAACTGTGTTGTGGTCTGTTGTGTAACTGTCTCTCTGTGTCTCTCTATCTATCTCTTTTGTGGTCTGTTGTGTAACTCTAACAGCCTCTCTCTGTGTGTCTCTCTCCTCCCAGCAACTGCTGAGTCTGCAGGAGCAGCTGAGGAGTAAGGAGGTGGAGCTGGAGCAGGCTAGAGACGAACACAGATACCTGCAGGGAGAAGTCCTAGCCCTGAGAGACAAGGTGAGAGAACATGCACGCACGCACACACATGCACACACACACACACACACATACACACACGAGTGTAAACTCATATGACTGAGCTAGATGGAAGGGAGTTAGGGACATGGTTTTCATGTAGTGGCAGTCTAGTATTTATTTTGGCAGGCTACTATACAGTAACTGTCTCTTAAAGTATTCTCCTTATCTCCCTCCATATGTCTTTCTATTGTTGTTTCTATGCAAGTGGCTCTCTCTTTCTCTCACTTTCCCTCAGTAGGGGGTCACACGAACGCACACACGCGCACACACACACGCACATGCACATGCACACACACATACTTTGCATCCCCAGAAGCACTGTACTGTTGCGTGAGAATAATACAACCAGTGGATGGATGAATATCTTTCTGATTCTATCTGATTATGCTAACTGTTACTGGTGCATGACTGTTATTGGACTGAGGTAATGGGAACATCAATAAGAACAGAGCTCCTGTGGAGAAAGAGTGTATTCAGCTGGAATCAGATAGATGGATACCTAGAGAGGATAAATTGATTAACAAATAGAAAGATAGATAGAACCTCCAGGGAGGATATATTGTTTCCATACAGTCTAAAGATCCTACATACACTACATGATAATAATGTGGACACCTGCTCGTCGAACATCTCATTCCAAAATCATGGGCATTAATATGGAGTTGGTTCCCCCTTTGCTGCTATAACAGTCTCCACTCTTCTGGGAAGGCTTTCCACTAGATGTTGGAACATTTCTGCAGGGACTTGCTCCCATTCAGCCACAAGAGCATTAGTGAGGTCGGGCACTGATGTTGGGCGATTAGGCCTGGCTCGCAGTCTGCGTTCCAATTCATCCCAAAGGTGTTCGATGGGGTTGAGGTCAGGGCTCAGTGCAGGCCAGTCAAGTTCTTCCACGACAAACCATTTCTTTATGGATCTCGCTTTGTGCACCGGGGCATTGTCATGCTGAAACAGGAAAGGGCCTTCCCCAAATTGTTGCCAAGTTGGAAGCACAGAACCGTCTAGAATGTCATTGTATGCTGAAGCGTTAAGATTTCCCTTCACTGGAACTAAGAGGCCTAGCCCGAACCATGAAAAACAGCCCCAGACCATTATTCCTCCTCCACCAAACTTTACATTTGACACTATGCATTGGAATAGGTAGCGTTCTCCTGGCATCTGCCAAACCCAGATTTGTCCGTCGGACTGCCAGATGGTGAAGCGTGATTCATCACTCCAGAGAACGCGTTTCCACTGTTCCAGAGACCAATGGCAGCGAGCTTTACACCACTCCAGCCGAGGCTTGGCATTTCGCATGGTGATCTTAGGCTTGTGTGCGGCTACTCGGCCATGGAAACCCATTTCATGAAGCTCCTGACAAACAGTTTTTGTGCTGATGTTGCTTCCAGGGCAGTTTGGTACTCGGTAGTGAGTGTTGCAACCGAGGACAGACGATTTTTATGCGCTACGCACTTCAGCATTCGGCGGTCCCGTTCTGTGAGCTTGTGTTGCCTACCACTTCGCGGCTGAGCCGCTGTTGTTGCTCCTAGACATTTCCACTTCACAATAACAGCACGTACAGTTGACCGGGGCAGCTCTAGCAGGGCAGTAATTTTACGAACTGACTTATTGGAAAAGTGGCATCCCATTCTCCTGCCAATGTTTGTGTATGGAGATTGCATGGCAGTGTGCTCGATTTTATACACCTGTCAGCAACAGGTGTGGCTGAAATAGCCGAATCCACTAATTTGAAGGGGTGTCCACATACTTTTGTGTATATACAGTGGGGGAAAAAAGTATTTAGTCAAATCAAATCAAATCACATTTTATTGGTCACATGCGCCGAATACAACAGGTGCAGACATTACAGTGAAATGCTTACTTACAGCCCTTAACCAACAGTGCATTTATTTTAAACAAAAAAAGTAAAAATAAAACAACAACAAAAAAAAAGTGTTGAGAAAAAAAAGAGCAGAAGTAAAATAAAGTGACGGTAGGGAGGCTATATATACAGGGGGGTACCGTTGCAGAGTCAATGTGCGGGGGCACCGGCTAGTTGAGGTAGTTGAGGTAATATGTACATGTGGGTAGAGTTAAAGTGACTATGCATAAATAATTAACAGAGTAGCAGCAGCGTAAAAAGGATGGGGTGGGGGGGCAGTGCAAATAGTCCGGGTAGCCATGATTAGCTGTTCAGGAGTCTTATGGCTTGGTGGTAGAAGCTGTTGAGAAGTCTTTTGGACCTAGACTTGGCACTCCGGTACCGCTTGCCGTGCGGTAGCAGAGAGAACAGTCTATGACTAGGGTGGCTGGAGTCTTTGACAATTTTGAGGGCCTTCCTCTGACACCGCCTGGTATAGAGGTCCTGGATGGCAGGAAGCTTTGCCCCAGTGATGTACTGGGCCGTACGCACTACCCTCTGTAGTGCCTTGCGGTCGGAGGCCAAGCAGTTGCCATACCAGGCGGTGATGCAACCAGTCAGGATGCTCTCGATGGTGCAGCTGTAGAATTTTTTGAGGATCTGAGGACCCATGCCAAATCTTTTCAGTCTCCTGAGGGGGAATAGGCTTTGTCGTAACCTCTTCACGACTGTCTTGGTGTGTTTGGACCGTGATCGTTCGTTGGTGATGTGGACACCAAGGAACTTGAAGCTCTCAACCTGTTCCACTACAGCCCCATCGATGAGAATGGGGGCGTGCTCAGTCCTCTTTTTTTTCCTGTAGTCCACAATCATCTCCTTTGTCTTGGTCACGTTGAGGGAGAGGTTGTTGTCCTGGCACCATACGGCCAGATCTCTGACCTCCTCCCTATAGGCTGTCTCATCGTTGTCGGTGATCAGGCCTACCACTGTTGTGTCGTCGGCAAACTTAATGATGGTGTTGGAGTCGTGCCTGGCCATGCAGTCATGGGTGAACAGAGAGTACAGGAGGGGACTGAGCACGCACCCCTGAGGGGCCCCCGTGTTGAGGATCAGTGTGGCAGATGTGTTGTTACCTACCCTTACCACCTGGGGGCGGCCTGTCAGGAAGTCCAGGATCCAGTTGCAGAGGGAGGTGTTTAGTCCCAGGATCCTTAGCTTAGTGATGAGCTTAGAGGGCACTATGGTGTTGAATGCTGAGCTGTAGTCAATGAATAGCATTCTCACGTAGGTGTTCCTCTTGTCCAGGTGGGAAAGGGCAGTGTGGAGTGCAATAGAGATTGCATCATCTGTGGATCTGTTGGGGCGGTATGCAAATTGGAGTGGGGCTAGGGTTTCTGGGATAATGCTGTTGATGTGAGCCATGACCAGCCTTTCAAAGCACTTCATGGCTACAGACGTCAGTGCTACGGGTCGGTAGTCATTTAGGCAGGTTATCTTAGAGTCCTTGGGCACGGGGACTATGGTGGTCTGCTTGAAACATGTTGGTATTACAGACTCAGTCAGGGACATGTTGAAAATGTCAGTGAAGACACTTGCCAGTTGGTCAGCACATGCTCGGAGTACACGTCCTGGTAATCCGTCTGGCCCTGCGGCCTTGTGAATGTTGACCTGCTTAAAAGTCTTACTCACATCGGCTACGGAGAGCGTGATCACATAGTCATCCGGAACAGCTGGTGCTCTCATGCATGCTTCAGTGTTGCTTGCCTCGAAGCGAGCGTAGAAGTGGTTTAGCTCGTCTGGTAGGCTTGTGTCACTGGGCAGCTCGCGGCTGTGCTTCCCTTTGTAGTCTGTAATAGTTTTCAAGCCCTGCCACATCCGACGAGCGTCAGAGCCAGTGTAGTACGATTCAATCTTAGTCCTGTATTGACTCTTTGCCTGTTTGATGGTTCGTCGGAGGTCATAGCGGGATTTCTTATAAGCGTCCGGGTTAGAGTCCCGTTCCTTGAAGGCGGCAGCTCTACCCTTTAGCTCAGTGTGGATGTTTCCTGTAATCCATGGCTTCTGGTTGGGGTATGTACGTACGGTCACTGTGGGGATGACATCATCGATGCACTTATTGATGAAGCCAGTCACTGATGTGGTGTACTCCTCAATGCTGTCTGAAGAATCCCGGAACATGTTCCAGTCTGTGCTAGCAAAACAGTCCTGTAGCTTAGCATCTGCGTCATCTGACCACTTTTTTATTAACCGAGTCACTGGTGCTTCCTGCTTTAGTTTTTGCTTATAAGCAGGAATCAGGAGGATAGTCAGCCACCAATTGTGCAAGTTCTCTCACTTAAAAAGATGAGAGAGGCCTGTAATTTTCATCATAGGTACAAGTCAACTATGACAGACAAATTGAGAAAAAAAAATCCAGAAAATCACATTGTAGGATTTTTAATGAATTTATTTGCAAATTATGGTTACCTGTATTAATGGCACCTGTTTGAACTTGTTATCAGTATAAAAGACACCTGTCCACAACCTCAAACAGTCACACTCCAAACTCCACTATGGCCAAGACCAAAGAGCTGTCAAAGGACACCAGAAACAAAATTGTAGACCTGCACCAGGCTGGGAAGACTGAATCTGCAATAGATAAGCAGCTTGGTTTGAAGAAATCAACTGTGGGAGCAATTATTAGGAAATGGAAGACATACAAGACCACTGATAATCTCCCTCGATCTGGGGCTCCACGCAAGATCTCACCCCGTGGGGTCAAAATGATCACAAGAACGGTGAGCAAAAATCCCAGAACCACACGGGGGGACCTAGTGAATGACCTGCAGAGAGCTGGGACCAAAGTAACACAGCCTACCATCAGTAACACACTACGCCGCCAGGGACTCAAATCCTGCAGTGCCAGACGTGTCCCCCTGCTTAAGCCAGTACATGTCCAGGCCCGTCTGACGTTTGCTAGAGTGCATTTGGATGATCCAGAAGAGGATTGGGAGAATGTCATATGGTCAGATGAAACCAAAATAGAACTTTTTGGTAAAAACTCAACTCGTCGTATTTGGAGGACAAAGAATGCTGAGTTACATCCAAAGAACACCATACCTACTGTGAAGCATGGGGGTGGAAACATCATGCTTTGGGGCTGTTTTTCTGCAAAGGGACCAGGACGACTGATCCGTGTAAAGGAAAGAATGAATGGGGCCATGTATCGTGAGATTTTGAGTGAAAACCTCCTTCCATCAGCAAGGGCATTGAAGATGAAACGTGGCTGGGTCTTTCAGCATGACAATGATCCCAAACACACCGCCCGGGCAACGAAGGAGTGGCTTCGTAAGAAGCATTTCAAGGTCCTGGAGTGGCCTAGCCAGTCTCCAGATCTCAACCCCATAGAAAATCTTTGGAGGGAGTTGAAAGTCCGTGTTGCCCAGCGACAGCCCCAAAACATCACTGCTCTAGAGGAGATCTGCATGGAGGAATGGGCCAAAATACCAGCAACAGTGTGTGAAAACCTTGTGAAGACTTACAGAAAACGTTTGGCCTGTGTCATTGCCAACAAAGGGTATATAACAAAGTATTGAGAAAGTTTTGTTATTGACCAAATACTTATTTTCCACCATAATTTGCAAATAAATTCATTAAAAATCCTACAATGTGATTTTCTGGAATTTATTTTCTTATTTTGTCTGTCATAGTTGACGTGTACCTATGATGAAAATTACAGGCCTCTCTCATCTTTTTAAGTGGGAGAACTTGCACAATTGGTGGCTGACTAAATACTTTTTCCCCCCACTGTATAGTGTAAAACAACAGCTATCTGGATCCTTCTTCTGTTACTAAGAACATGCTCTATGCCTCTGATTGTTACCAGGGTTACCAGTGTGAATGGTCAGTACTTGATGTTGGTCTCTGTCTTGATCTCTGTCTGTCTTGTTCTCTGTCTGTCTTGTTTTCAGATGCTGACTAATGGGGATGTAGTGGTAGTGGAGGGGAACAACGGAGAAACACCTGAGAAGGTCAGTCTGCCCCAACACACACCACTAAACAGTACCCACACAATACTCTACACACACACACACATGCACTTAACATCTCTGTACCCTCTTCTTGAGTGCTTTTATTGACCCAGCCAGCTAGTGTGAGGAGACGTCAGTGTCTGATGATGTTTTCAGAGCAGGGGGGTAGGCCTATGCATTAAGGGTGGGGGTGATATGGGGGGTAAGTAAAATAGTGTTTGTGTGTGGAGGGGTTAGGGTTTGTAGTGGCTTACTGTGTATGTCCCTTGTGCCCTGTGAAAGGCAGACTTGGACTGGAGAAGGAGAGAGGAGAATCTCATTGGAGTAACACCAGTAGCACGAGCCACTCTCCTCTCTCTCATAAAAATAACACTACCCCAGTGACTACACACACACACATGGTCGCACGTACACACAAACAGTACATACATACACACACACACATACACACACACACACACACACACACACACACAGAGACAGACACGTGTGCTGAACTTTATTCTACCCCTGTAGTTACTGAACTGGAAGCTGATACCCATCTGAGAGCTGATACCCATCTGATAGCTGATACCATGCAGTAGTATCAGTTCCCATTGCATTTGTGTGTCTATAAGGACTAACACAGCATTGTGTGTGTGTATACAGGTAGTGAACGGGTGTGCGACCACTCTGTACCGCAGCAGAGACAGGAGGAGTGAAGCAACCATGAGAGGAGCCCTCACATCAGAGAGAGAGGCTCTGCTACTGGGTGAATATCATCTACTATGTATATTAGACACTCTTTACTGGAAAGCATATTGTCTACATTGTCTCCTTTTCTTCTGTAATAGTCATCTGACTGGGAGTGTTTTAATGGTTGGGGTTAGGCTGAGGGTACGGGGTGGATTGGTACATGTTGGAGGGGGGCCAATGTTTAATGGGGCCAAATGGTTTTGAAACAGCCCACGCCTGTCTGTCATGTTCTTGGATGAAGAACCCAAGGACCGGGATGGGGGGTTGGATGGAGGGGGACTCAGGGGACAGGTACTGTGGGTCTGCTTGCCAAGCAGGACTCTGCTGACCCTGGCCACACACACATAGAATAATCCCCTATACACACACACACACGCAGGCACGCGCACACACACAAACATTATTTCTCCCGGCTGCACACAGCGGTGCTGTGGTTGTGTTCTCACACAGAAACACACTCCATCCACACAGAAACACACTCCATCGTAGGGCACTGGGGACACAGTGACAGACGAGGACGCCGTCAGCCAGAACAGAAGAAAAGACGAACCGGTTCCAGGAGAGAGGAGAGAAAGAGACTGACTGGAGAACACAAATTGACTAATTCTCCCGTGGCTCTCCTCTCCCTCTCTCTCCTCCCCTTCTATCTCTCTCCCTCTCTCCTCCCCCTCTACCTCTCCCTCTCTCTCCTCCCCCTCTACCCCTCCCTCTCTATTTCTCCCTCTATCTCCTCCCCCTCTATCTGTCTCCCTCTCTCCTCCCCCTCAACCTCTCCCTCTCTCTCCTCCCCTCTATCCCTCCCTCTCTCTCCTCCCCCTCTCTCTCTCCTCCCCCTCTACTGCTCGCTCACTCTCCTCCCCCTCTATCTCTCTCCCTCTCTCCACCCACTCTACCTCTCCCTCTCTCTCCTCCCCCTCTATCTCTCTCCATCTCTCCTCCCCCTCTACCTCTCCTCCCTTTAAGCTCCCAGAAATACAGTGGGGGAAAAAAGTATTTAGTCAGCCACCAATTGTGCAAGTTCTCCCACTTAAAAAGATGAGAGAGGCCTGTAATTTTCAACATAGGTACACGTCAAATATGACAGACAAAATGAGAAAAAAAATCCAGAAAATCACATTGTAGGATTTTTAATGAATTTATTTGCAAATTATGGTGGAAAATAAGTATTTGGTCAATAACAAAACTTTCTCAATACTTTGTTATATACCCTTTGTTGGCAATGACACAGGTCAAACGTTTTCTGTAAGTCTTCACAAGGTTTTCACACACTGTTGCTGATATTTTGGCCCATTCCTCCATGCAGATCTCCTCTAGAGCAGTGATGTTTTGGGGCTGTCGCTGGGCAACACGGACTTTCAACTCCCTCCAAAGATTTTCTATGGGGTTAAGATCTGGAGACTGGCTAGGCCACTCCAGGACCTTGAAATGCTTCTTACGAAGCCACTCCTTCGTTGCCCGGGCGGTGTGTTTGGGATCATTGTCATGCTGAAAGACCCAGCCACGTTTCATCTTCAATGCCCTTGCTGATGGAAGGAGGTTTTCACTCAAAATCTCACGATACATGGCCCCAGTCATTCTTTCCTTTACACGGATCAGTCGTCCTGGTCCCTAAGCAGAAAAACAGCCACAAAGCATGATGTTTCTACCCCCATGCTTCACAGTAGGTATGGTGTTCTTTGGATGCAACTCAGCATTCTTTGTCCTCCAAACACGACGAGTTGAGTTTTTACCAAAAAGTTCTATTTTGGTTTCATCTGACCATATGACATTCTCCCAATCCTCTTCTGGATCATCCAAATGCACTCTAGCAAACTTCAGACGGGCCTGGACATGTACTGGCTTAAGCAGGGGGACACGTCTGGCACTGCAGGATTTGAGTCCCTGGCGGCGTAATGTGTTACTGATGGTAGGCTTTGTTACTTTGGTCCCAGCTCTCTGCAGGTCATTCACTAGGTCCCCCCGTGTGGTTCTGGGATTTTTGCTCACCGTTCTTGTGATAATTTTTACCCCACGGGGTGAGATCTTGCGTGGAGCCCCAGATCGAGGGAGATTATCAGTGGTCTTGTATGTCTTCCATTTCCTAATAATTGCTCCCACAGTTGATTTCTTCAAACCAAGCTGCTTACCTATTGCAGATTCAGTCTTCCCAGCCTGGTGCAGGTCTACAATTTTGTTTCTGGTGTCCTTTGACAGCTCTTTGGTCTTGGCCATAGTGGAGTTTGGAGTGTGACTGTTTGAGGTTGTGGACAGGTGTCTTTTATACTGATAACAAGTTCAAACAGGTGCCATTAATACAGGTAACGAGTGGAGGACAGAGGAGCCTCTTAAAGAAGAAGTTACAGGTCTGTGAGAGCCAGAAATCTTGCTTGTTTGTAGGTGACCAAATACTTATTTTCCACCATAATTTGCAAATAAATTCATAAAAAATCCTACAATGTGATTTTCTGGATTTTTTTTCTCTCAATTTGTCTGTCATAGTTGACGTGTACCTATGATGAAAATTACAGGCCTCTCTCATCTTTTTAAGTGGGAGAACTTGCACAATTGGTGGCTGACTAAATACTTTTTTTCCCCACTGTATAATTTCATCACAAAAGGAAAGCAGCCTCTATCTGATTCTGACTGGACTGATTTTATTAGCCTGATTTCCTTTTGTTTCCTGTCACTGTATGAATCTCCATACAACAAGCACAAAATAGTTCTGTGCCAATTCTCAGATGTACAGCTAGAAAGCGGAGCTCCCTTTGGTGCTGCAGGGAGGTGAAAGCAGCCTGCTTGGTGTAAAACAGAGCCAGGAGCTGGTTGGAGCAGAGGAGAGTAGAGAGGAGAGCAGAGGAGAGAGTAGTAGGCAGCAGCACATTTATCTCTTTTAGCGCGGCACACAGAAAGCAAACATGAAGGAGAGTAGAGGCAGAGCTCTCTATCTCCCCGCCAGCAAGCCGCCCTGCCTGCTTCCCTGCCTGCCGCAGACACTACAGCTTCTGGGCTTTTCATTCACACCTACACACACAGACATGCGCCAGCATGCATGGATACACACACGTCTGCAATCTGCAAACACCCCCCCCACATCCCCCCCTCTCCGGCAGCAGTGTGGCAATTATGTGTGAGTAGTGGTGGCTGAGGGAAGTGAATTAGTCCTGAAATGGGCAATGTTACGTCATATAAATCAGGGGAATAAATATTGTCTCAGGGTTCCCAGGGGACCGCACTATATTCTCTCCCCCCTGAGTTGCTGTGCTACCTCTGCAGGACTTCTCACAAGTAATCAACTCAAATACTCTTTGAGCTCGGACCAGCGTTTTTCATGACGGCGCGGGATGCATTTATTGCATGGCATTGTCAGCAAGATACAGATTGCAGCTCTGCAGGAGAACTGGAGCTGAACAGCCTGTGTTTTTCCCTTCCCTCTCTCTTCCTCTTCCTCTCTCTCTCTCTCTCTCTCTCTGCAGGCATCATATCTACCTTCCTCCATGTCCACCCGTTTGGAGCCAACATCGACTATCTGTGGTCCTACATTCAGAGACTGGACACTACGGTCAGTTTCTATATATGAAATAGTCACTAAAATAGAGAAAGGGAAAAAAGCTGGGGGGAAATGAAATCTCATCTAATTGTTACACAAATAAGAAGTTAGACCTGTTAGGTGATCCCACCTGTCCCTGTCCCTCTCCCGTCCAGGTGTCAGCGAGGGAGTTGGAGTCTCTGATGGGTCGTCTGCCCAGTGTCTTCAGACAGGAGCTGAGTGGAGTGGGAGCCACACTGGAGAAACGATGGAAGTTCTGTGGCTTCCAGAGCCTCGGCTCCGTGTGACACACACACACACACACACACACACACACACACACACACACACACACACACACACACACACACACACACACAGACACAGACACAACACACACACACACACACACACACACACACACACACACACTCTGAGTGGAACAGGACACACACACATCGGATGACCCAGGACACACATACGGCCTGAAAGACCACATGTGGGACACACCTGGTGGACACACTTCCAGACTGTTCGAAAGGTGTGTGTGTGTATGTTGCGTATCCACAGACATCCACAGTGCATAGTGATGATACTCAAACACAGATATGGGAAAATAACAAAAACTACAAGATCCCCTGATGGATCTTTCAGAGTTATATCTTTGCAAGGGATCTGCTGACACTGAGGCAGAGGGATCCACAAGGATCTCTACTTGATGCTGTATAACTAAATCCACTGATGTCATCCTCAAGGGGTCACAGAGCAGACCTTCTCTATGGTAACGTAGTGACCAGCCCCTAGCCAACAGAACAGAAGGTTCTTAGTCCTAACGTCTCTCTCATGGACTGGAGTGGTTTGAGACGCCTCTCTCTGTACCCTCTCTCAGATTTCAGACTCTCTTTCTGTTCCCTCTCTCTTTCTGTACCCCTCTCTCTGTTTTTTTTTCTCTCTCTCTCTTTCTCTCTTCTCTCTCTCTTTCTCTATCTCTCTATGTGGAGCAGTTGTGTAACTGGTCTGTCAACAGCTGACTCCCACTAGGCTGGGAGGGATCCAGGAATATTGGACTGCTGCAACCGAAATATGGGCAGGAATTGGGGAAAACTGGAGAATGGGCGTGGGGGAGTACAGGACAGATTTATAACTGTGACCCTTGTTACCCCTTTCGTCCAGTATGTTGTGGGGCTGTTTGCTGTAAAAACCCAGTTTCACACTCCATCATGCCTGCAGCGTTAGCCAGACACACACACACACACACACACACTCTCTCTCTCTCAACTGACTTTAGTAGCCTACTGATGACTGGAACTGATACTGTTGGGTTGGCACTTTAGGTCTACATATCCATATATGGATGTCTCTATCTCTGTCTGTCTTTCTCTCTCTCTGCACTGGCCTTGTGTCCAGTGTGTGCTGTGCTTGTTGCCACTGCTAACTGGTATCTACTCATTTAAATTATGTTTTCTAATCGATTAAAATGTTTTTATCCACAACTCTTCTGATCAATCCAAAACATTTTCAATTCAAGAAGCTTTATCGGCATGACAAGCAACTAAATTCACATGATCAAGGATGGTAATGGCAAGACAAGGCTGCTAATGGCAAATGATCAAAGCTTGTGCATAGATTTGAAATCCTGTATATTTTGGTTTTCTGTTTGTGATCCAGATAGTGAGCTGATATTCCATGTTGGATGATGTGGTGTGTCTGCCTGATGACGGAGGATAAAATACTGTATTAATACTGGATGAGGAGAGAAAGAGGAGGAGCAGAACAGTGTGTCTGTGGGTTTTATGTACTCCTCTCTTCTTTACTCCTCTCCCTGTACTCTCTCCTCTCCTCTAGTTCTGATCGTGTGCTGGTATGCTCTATTCTGGTCAATCTGGACTGACATAAAGCAAGCACCACTCATGCAGGCAAACCAGTGGCGGTCGGTGCTGTTTTAAGATTAGGGAGGGATTTTTTTCGGGGGATGAGCATGGCCTTATTTCTATTAAAGCATATTGGATGACTGACATTAATATTCCATACACCCAGCTCAATTTAACATATATAGGTTTAGGCCACTACATGATACTCAAATGTTCCATATGCCCATCATGAGATTCCTACAACAGGTTGAGAGACAAATTGTAGTAATCAAGGTGACAGACAGTGACACATTCAATACCACCTTGCACACTCTTGCCTGCATCTAGCTGATCTAGGGTGTAATCATTAGTCTAAACAGTTGCAAACAAGAGTTTCTATTGGACAAATTCAGGTAGGTTCATACCGTTTGCTTCTTTTTAAGAAACGTTTTTCAACAGAATCGGTATAATGAATACACCCCTGATCACCCGCACACACAGTTCATTTTCATAGCAGCCACATACAAACAGCATCGCCACTTTGCATCACTCGTTGTATAATTCCTTCTCGCATCTACACGCTCTCCTCCTCTCACCTTTTCCCTTCGCTTGTGGACTTCAGTGCACAACACAACAGCTGTCTGTGACCAGGTGAAAGAACCTTTCCAAGCCAAACCTTCATACAATAACCGCTAACCGCTACACACAGCCTACATCATTGTCACCATATTAGCTAATGTCATAGTCAACATAGCTACTAGAACTAACACATTAGTAAACCCGCTACAATTACGCAGTACAGTGTACAGCAAGCAGTTTAGCAGTTTAGCATAAATGTATATAACCAAAAGCTTACCTTGACTTGGAAAGGTTCCAGTGTTGGATAGCCTTAGCCAGCTAGCCGGATGTTTGAGTAGGCTAAATTAGCTAGCTGCATTAGCTAGCTAAGTAAGTGAGTGAAAGTGAAAAAAATATAGCTAGGTCTCTCTCGCTCTCTCTCTCACTCTGATGCTTCTCCTTAATCTTTGTTCAAAACTGTTCAACTACTGTCTTTCTCTTTGAGTCAACTACTCACCACATATTATGCACTGCAGTGCTAGCTAGCTGTAGCTTATGCTTTCAGTACTAAATTCATTCTCTGATCCTTTGATTGGGTGGACATGTCAGTTCATGCTGCAAGAGCTCTGATAGGTTGGAGTACAGAAGTCATCGTAATTACTGTGTAAGTCTATGGAAGGGGTTGAGAACCATGAGCCTCCTAGGTTTTGTATTGAAGTCAATGTACCCAGAGGAGGACGGAAAATAGCTGTCCTCCGGCTACACCATGGTGCTACCCCAGAGAGTGCTGTTGAGGTTACTGTAGACCTTTATTGCAAAACAGTGCGTTTTAATCAGTTATTTGGTGAACAAAAATATACTTTTTTTATGTTTCAAAAAAATTAAAATCACTGAGTAGGATGGTCCTCCCCTTCCTCCTCTGAGGAGCCTCAACTGATGCAAACACACACACACACACACACACACACACACACGCAAAAACACATGCATGCACACATGCACATACCGTATCACTTTGTCTGATGCAACATCAGGGTAAGCAGGGGAGTATATGGGAGGATCTGGCCCTGTCTGCTCTGCACTGACCACTTTCTGGTCTCTCATGGACAGAGGATCATGGTCGCCATGGAAACAGCAGTATGAAGCACGGTTGGGGTCAATTCCATTCCATTTCAATTACAGTCAATTACAGGAAGTAAACTGAAATACCAATTCCAATTCTCTTCAATGAGGAAAATGTAGAATTAGAATTGGGTTTACTTTCTGAATCGACTGGAAATTAAATGGAATTGATCCCAACCCTGGTATGAAGGGTCATAGGCATATCATAAGCAGCAGTAGTGGATGGAGAGACCAGACCAATTCACAACATCAGAGAAAAAAAAGAGGGAGTAAGATCGAACACTGGCGACACCGTACCAGTCAGACCCATGTGTATATAAGGCTCTGGTTCCACTGCTCTTTTCATTCTATTAATCCCATTTAGAATCATATGTTGAGTTCCAATCACTCCTATCCACAAAGAGATCAGCTGGCCAGATGTGATTGGATTGGAATGTAGTCCATTTCAAGAGATGTATACTTAATCCCTGATTGATGCCTGGCCATGTGACCAAGGCCTTGCTGAGTTTCCCCTCCATCCTACAGCTCTGCTCTCCATATGATTCCACTTCAGACAAACTGTCATCTGCTGAGGATCAAAACACACACACATTCAGGATGTCCAGCTGGAGAAATAAATAAATTAAGTATCACGTCGTTTTCCCCCTTTTCTCGCTTTACTGATTTATATTTCAAATAAAATCATATCAAATTGTATTTGTCACATACACGTGTTTAGCAGATGTTATTGCGGGTGTAGCGAAATGCTTGTGCTTCTAGCTCCGACAGTGCAGTAATATCTAACAAGTAATATCTAACAATTTCACAACATATACCCAATACACACAAAACTAGTAAGGAAATGAATTTAAGAATATATACATATATAGACAAGCAATGACAGAGTGGCATGGACTAAGATACAATAGAATATTATAGAATAGAATACAGTATATACAGTGGGGAGAACAAGTATTTGATACACTGACGATTTTGCAGGTTTTCCTACTTACAAAGCATGTAGAGGTCTGTAATTTTTTTATCATAGGTACACTTCAACTGTGAAAGACGGAATCTAAAACAAAAATCCAGAAAATCACATTGTATGATTTTTAAGTAATTAATTTGCATTTTATTGCATGACATAAGTATTTGATCACCTACCAACCAGTAAGAATTCCGGCTCTCACAGACTTGTTAGTTTTTCTTTAAGAAGCCCTCCTGTTCTCCACTCATTACCTGTATTAACTGCACCTGTTTGAACTCGTTACCTGTATAAAAGACACCTGTCCACACACTCAATCAAACAGACTCCAACCTCTCCACAATGGCCAAGACCAGAGAGCTGTGTAAGGACATCAGGGATAAAAATTGTAGACCTGCACAAGGCTGGGATGGGCTACAGGACAATAGGTAAGCAGCTTGGTGAGAAGGCAACAACTGTTGGTGCAATTATTAGAAAATGGAAGAAGTTCAAGATGACGGTCAATCACCTTCGGTCTGGGGCTCCATGCAAGATCTCACCTCGTGGGGCATCAATGATCATGAGGAAGGTGAGGGATCAGCCCAGAACTACACGGCAGGACCTGGTCAATGACCTGAAGAGAGCTGGGACCAGAGTCTCAAAGAAAACCATTAGTAACACACTACGCCGTCATGGATTAAAATCCTGCAGCGCACGCAAGGTCCCCCTGCTCAAGCCAGCGCATGTCCAGGCCCATCTGAAGTTTGCCAATGACCATCTGGATGATCCAGAGGAGGAATGGGAGAAGGTCATGTGGTCTGATGAGACAAAC